TGATTGGACTTTCTGCTAACAAGTAATAATAATAATGATAGTTTATTAACCAGTTAATTGCTGTAGGTGTGGCACTATGGACCTTTCATTAATTAGTTTATTGTCTCTATACTTTCCTCCTCTCCTTCCGCCTGATTCAGTTGATCTTGATATATCAACAATGATTCAAACTGCAGCAGTCATTGGTCTGGGTCTTGTATACATGAGCTCGTGCAATAGGTTCATGATTGAACTGATGATCAATGAGATAGGTACTGGGGGTGTGGTTTTGTAATGGGTGTGGTTTTATAATGGGTGTGTCCATACTTTAGGTCACAGCCCAGGCCCTGAGTGTCGGTTTGGTTTAAACAGGGAGTCTTACTCACTATCAGCTGGTCTAGCACTAGGAATGATTGGACTAGCAGTAATCATTAATTAATTAATAACTATTAATTAATATTTTTATATAGTCCGGGGATAATTCAGTCATCAAAGGGTTAAATATTGTCGATCAGCTTCGTGTGTACATCAATGGAGGAATGAAAAGAGACGTAATCAATTAATTAATGAATTTATTATTAATTAATTTATTTGTCAGGTTTCAGCTGTTGACACTTCTTCAAGCAGTCAGCTAGTACTGGTTAGTATACTAATAATATACTGATAATATACAGAGTTATACAGGAAGGTAAACATGTCAATGTACATGTAACAGCTCCAGGTGGCATTCTGGCTCTGTCGCTAATTTACTTGAAAACTAACAATGAACAGATTGCGTCATACTTAGCTCCGCCCACAACCTTGTACCATTTTGAATGTGTCCAGTACAGACCTGACTACCTTTGTCTGAGGGTAAGGTTTTACGAGTGAAGAGGGTTTCTATAGACAGGTTCTATCAGACACTAGGGGCTTCACTGATACTGTGGGATAGTATTGAACCAACACAGTCATGGATTGATGGCAACATACCTCAAGTAATTAACTAATTGATTAATTAATAGCTTTATTTATTTGTTTTTTATTAATAGATAGCTCATGAATATTCATTTAAGAGTAATGAAGCAAATCCATCATTATATCAATTAATGAGGTAATTAATAATAATAATAATAATTAATTGATCGTTCCTTTTAGTCAATC